TATCTAGTTATCCTTGAACATAAACAACCTGGAGTACCCCATGGGAATGACTAAGCATTTAACAGTCTGAGCTAGACATCCTGTCTACACTAAACATTTCTAATACATGAAGTGTCTAACCAATGTCTATCTGACTAAAAATACCTAACACAATGAAGATGGATTGAATATTGTTAAACCCAGTTCTTTAACTGAAAGCCAGAGAAGTGAAAACAGAAGAGGACTGTATAAAATCAGGGCTCAGACAATCAGAGCTTCCGCAGGAACGCAATCATCAAAGATCATTGGACCATTGTCTGTAGTTCCATCTATCTTCATGGGCGGGAACCGCCCCAGACAAAGGTTGGACTTTCACGTGTCCTAACACTATTGGCCATAAGCATGAGCAAGTCAGCCTCTACTCACATCAGCTACTAAATATGCAAATCAAATGATGTGTGAATGTTGTATTATCAGGCGGCAGCTAACAGAAACATGAACATCTGGTCATCTCCAAAGAGCAGAAAAGCAAAACAGTGCTGATTTATTCAAAGGATCACAGGTAAAATTAACATTACACGCTGAGGTATCTTGCACCTCCAAACTGCTCGCAGGCAGATGTAAGATGAAAGACCCTGAAACCACCAGGCCTATACATTATATCCCCTCGGTTGGGCTAGCCCCATATGTAACACTTGCCAAGTGATTAGATCAGAAGTTGCCAACCTCTGATTAAGGGCCAATAGCTAGAATAGGTTCGGCCGCTGGAGCAATGTGTGGTGTTCAATTGAATTTCCACAAATTATATGCTTGAACAATGTTTTACTACAATTGAACATATGCACATACACAAAACAATTTAAATAAGTAAAATAGCTAAACACGTGGAAAATAAATAAACCAAATTAATCCAAGCTTAACCGTGTTAAGTCTCTTCTTAATCACAGGCCACTATCAAAACCCACCTAAGTAATCCCTCCTCGTGAGGAACCAGTAAATCTGGAATAATGGGTTGCTTAGGGTATTTTTCCTGTCTATGTCTGTGATATCCTAGGGTGCACCCTATCTAATCGGATATCCAATGTGAAGTGGAATTCAATCGGATAACATTCAAATCCCAATCCCTCTCAAATCAATCAACCATACAAGAATTCAAGGTTCACAATACTGGTAATACCATGATAGCATTTTTTCTTCAGTGCATGTACAGCTTCATCAGTGCTAATGTAGTCCAGTCAAAAAAACAATAAAAGTCAAATCAAAACCCCAGAAGTCCACTTAAGTCCAGTCCCAGTATGATGATGAAAAAGATACTGCACCAGAAGGCGTAGTGAATCCTTTGTCGACTACACTGGGAGTGTAGTAACGCTTGTATGCTGACCAAATCATCCAGGTCTTCCCACTCAAGAATCCGCTGGGAGGCTCGCCATCAAACTCCAGGAATGATTTATGATCGTTTCACAAAGGGAATAGAATGTTCCAAGACCCCGAAAAAAACCTGACCTGTGATAACAGGATCAACCAATTATTCGTAGTATCTCAATACATTCTGCTTCCAGTATTTAACACTATATTTTTATAATGCTAAGTGTAACAATGTTATGAATTTTCCCACATTCTTAAAACATATTCACATTTCCAGCATATATTAATCACAAGTGAATGTTCATATACGTTTATACATAAACAAATGTATGGCTCACCAATCTCCTTGATTTAATACAAGCATACGTAATGTCCGCTCAGAATGGCGCACACACCACGCAGCTGTCTCATCTCTTCAACACACAAGGGCATGGTTTTAACATAACATTCAATTTAGGTTCTCATAACATTCAGCAAAATAGATAGGTATAATCATAAAGTTTTACCTTCTGCCTTTCGCTCACTAGCACGGTAGAATTCCACAATTCACTGCGGCCCTGGACACGAGCTAATGGCGTCAGACATTAGCTACTACCTTTAGCTCACAGTGTTTTTCACTCACTACCACGCCAAATTTTCAATTAGTGCCAGTTCTTTTCCTTCCTTTCCCTAGCGACTGTATTTGTAGTCGCTATGCCGTGTATCCAATTTCAATTCTACAGTGCCTTTTACCTTTTCCGCTCACGCTACCCTGGTAGATTCCCAAACCATTTAGCTCTTCTAATCTCTGTCCAGACTACGTTTTTTTTTTTTGTTCTGCCACACCCAACTCTACCCAAGGGCGGAACTTGTGAGGCGTATCCCACCCAACCCTGACAGTTCCTGATTGGTTTTGTCACTTATCAATCTTCTATTTATTTCTTTTCCCATATGACAGTGAAAAATGCACAACCTTTCACCCTAAAGTTACCGCTATGTATCAGTTTTTTTCTTTTTTCTTTTGACCACAACATCAGGTGGGTTACAC